AGGCCCAGGGCAGCTGGATAACACTTTCCCTCTGCGTTGTGATGTTCTGAATCAGCTATATTTCATGCCTGTTATTTTAAGAATTTCCCTTAAAAGAAACTCCTGTTACAAACGTGCTTCAAATGCTGAGCACTTTGCAGTGCCTGTGCTAGGTTCCACCCCAGGTTTCGGGGGGCACTGGTCCCGCCGTAGTCCCTAAAACAATGCTGTCCTAAGTGCGATCCCGCGGTGAGTAGATGGCACACAGGCATTGTTTTTAAAGTCAAAGACACCCTCCTGCTTGCTGCTGTAATGATGGACACATGACATTGTGCTGTTGTTGAAACTCACAGGCCAGATGGTAGCCCGAATGTATGAGGGAGCTTCAAAAAGTTTGTGTGGAAATAGGATGAGCTGATAATGCACTTTTCCACACGTTTCTTGAAGCTCATTACATAGAGTCAGTGAAAGCAAGGGACACACTCAATAAGATGGGCTGAACAGTGAATTCCAGTATATCAAAGAGGCAACATTTTATTCTGTTATCCATAAGGGCCCCGTGAGTCAGAAGTGACAAGACTACAACTATCAAGAAAAATATAAATTATGGACCTTGGTTAATAATAATATGTCAAAGTTGGTTCACTAGATTGTAACAAATGTACCACACAAATGGAAGCTATTAATAATAAAAGAGGGACTGTGTTTAAGGGTGAATACATAGGAACGCTGTACTTTCTCAATATTTGTCTTTAAGCTTAAAACTGTCCTAAAAAAAAAAAGGACTTATGATTTAAAAGAAATGTGGCCCACATACTGTTAGCACTGGTGGTAGAGCAAGGAGTTGGCCCAGGATGTACATCATTGGCACTCACCATTATACTATAAATGTTTTATGTTCTTATTAGATTCTTTTAAATGGCTGCGTAAGGTTCTAATACGTTATATAAGATTATTTACTTCTTCTTTCCTCTGTTGTTGGCATTTGGATGCCTTCGGGTTTTTGCCATTAAAACATGGCTCCCTGGTGGTTTCGTGGGTTGTATGTTGGACTGCTAACCTCAAGGTCAACAGTTTGAAACCACCATTGTCTCCTTGGGAGAAAGATAAGGCTTCACAGCCTTGGGACCCCAAAGAAGCAGTTCTGTTTCGTCTTACAAGAGGGTCCCTATGAGTCAGACTCAACTCTGGCAGTGAGTTTGGGTTTGTTTTTCTTTAAAAAAAATTTTTTTACATAAAGCTTTAGTAAGTATCTTCATGTGTGTCTGTTTTTCTCTCCTAAAGATTATTTCTTTTGGAATAGATTTCCAGTGTATCAAAAGATATGAATGTGAGACTTAAAATTAGATGCCCTGAATGCTGCCCTTAATTTTTGCATTGAAGTAAATTATTTTTTGCTAATGTTTTGTTATGAAACCTTACGCTGTCTTTTGGCAAGTCAGCCTCGTGGGAAGAAGGGATCTGGTGTGGTTGCTTTTGTAGGATAAAGCTGGCTCCTCAAGCAACAGCTTCCATCCAACCAGGAGCAGGTGTGAGTCTCTGGCTGAGAAGCAGCTTTCACAGAGCACCTGTTGGCTGGCCCGGTGAGGGCCTGAGCCCAAGGAGTACCCTCCCAGTGACACTGAGGACAGGATCAGGAGCCACAGATGGTGTGCATCCAGAAAAGAGCCAGTGCATAGCTGTGTTCGGTCCACCGGCCTTCAGCACCTCTAATCTTGAAGCAAGTAGGAAGGGCAGCATAGACACGGTCCAGGTCTAACTGAGGTAGCATCTTTTCATAAACCCAAACACCAAACTCACTGCCACCAGGTCGATTCCAACTCATAGCGACCCTATAGAACAGGAGAGACCTGCCCCCCTGGGTTTCCGAGACTAACTCTTTATGGGAGTAGAAAGCAGCTGGTGGTTTCAAACTGCTGACCTTGTGGTTAGAAGCCCAACATATAACCACCATACCAATAGCAGTCCCAAGAGTAGTTAGAATTTTTTTCACAGTCACACCTTCAACCCCCCACTGAATGGCAATGGCCAAAAGGTAACAGTGTCAGTGCGATGTACCTGCTCACCCACACTTCCAACCTAGGCCCTGAGCCACGTCCAACCTCCGGCTCCGATGATATCAGCAGGAGCCAGTCAAGCCAGCCCAAGCTGTGGTCACAGTCGCCATTTACTAATGGCAGCTGTTCCCCAAGCCGTCCCCCAAGGGACCAAAGAAGAGACTCTCCTGGAAAGGAAATATCATTTAACATGAGCCAAGAGCTCTTCATCTTTTTCAGCTGAAATACGAGGCTTGACTTGTCCAATTTTAAGGTTTCCCGAAACAATTTCTTTCTTCCACAGAACCCACCAGAGTGACAAGTCAGGGTGGAGAGAAAACTCCTCTAAATCGTGTCCTCCTGTCCCCCTGTCGCCCCCCAGGAGCAGTTCGAGTTTGCCCTGACAGCCGTGGCAGAGGAGGTGAACGCAATACTCAAGGCCCTGCCACAATAAGCGTCCGCGCTCCCTGGAGGGCTGCAGAGCCTCGCTGACCCCTCTGAATGGTACTGGAAACCATGATACGACTTTAATTGTGTGTCTTCTATCGTAACTGCATAGTAATAAGGTCTTTAAAACTCCTGTAGTCAGTACAGTTTAGCAGTTAAAATGTGTATTTTTGTTCAACCAAATAATAATAAAGATTTGTGGAAACATCCAATTAGGGGTGCCGGGGGGTGGGGGTGGGGCGAGATCAGTTCATCTAATTATTTTCACTTTCTGGGGAAAAAATACAAATCTGTTTTCCTTAAAGCACACATTCACATTCCTAATTGCAAACAATGCCTTATTAGTGATGTAGTCATTAGTACATTCAATATGGTCTCGGAGAAGATGTTTGTTATCTGTAACTTCTGAAGGATGAATGGGCTGTGGGGGGAGGGGGCGCGAAGCCAACTGGCCAGGCATTAAACAAAGACCCCCAGGGGTAGATGTTGGATTTGGCATTTGTCTTTAAAAGGATTTCTCAACTGGAGGGACCACTGACTTATTCGAGAGTCAAATCAGCAGAACTCCTAACATGCTGCAGCGCTGGGACAGATCCCAATGAGAAAAGCCCTCCGTTTACGCACCTGTGGGCTAGCTGATGTGTCTCGTCCCAACCCCCAGCTCTTTCAAGGCCCCATAGCAATGTCCACTTTGCACCTGCCCAGGGGGGAGATTGCAGGGCTTTCCACTGAGGGTCAGTCTGTCCACCCACTCTGAGCGAGGGCTGGCCTATCAGGCCCAGGGCAGCTGGATAACACTTTCCCTCTGGGTTGTGATGTTCTGAATCAGCCCCAACTTGAGGGCTTGTTTGTTTGTTTAAAGCTTAGAAATCTGGAAGCACGCATGACAAAAAGAGGTACACCTGATGGACGCTTGGCTGTGAAACACCCAGAGTTAGGAAGAACCCTCTAGACACTCGGCGTGCGCCAAGGATTCCAAAGAGTTTGTAAGCATCCCCAGGAATGCCTCTGGGTCCTACTGGTGTGTAGAAAAGACCAGTGGATATTTGCACTCATTTCCTAGAAAGAAAGGAAAATGCAGGAAGAGCCACCTGCTGATTATTTGCTTTAATCTGTGTGGAATCCCTCAGGGGTGCCACCATGAACTCATAGGGCTGCTAACCAAAACGAGTAGAGCGTCCACTTCACCCAGAGGCTCCTCAGGGGTCTGCTTCCGATACTCAGAAAGCGGAGACCCCAGGGAGTAGAGGTCTCTGACGTGTGCGGAGTCACCATGAGTTGGCACTGACTCCAGGACCACTGGGCTCCGTTGATGGTAGATCAGAACAGTTGGAAGGGACGTGAGAAAGGCCTCTCCTCCTTCATCCCAGAGATGCTGGATTCTTGGAATGACCCAAATGTTTTCTTCACTCCCATCCACTGGTTGCTTTGATGTCCAGTAAACGCTAGCCAGGACGGACACATTTCTAGTGGTTTGGAGGAGCCAAAATCAAGTTAGCACTTTCCATAGACCAGCATCCCCCAGAAATTGAAAGACTCATGTCATTAAGCACAGAAGGGGAGCATGGGCGTGGTCTCTGGGTGCTGCAAATGTTATTTGCAGGTTTGGGTATGAGAAGATATTCCCAGTAGCTCTTCCATCCTGCTGTATGCCACATGATCCTTTCACTTTAAATAGTACATGTCAATAAGCGGCATCATAGGGAAAGTTGTCTACCAAATGGGGAAAGAGATGCCAAAATATTGTTTATGTCTTTAAATGGTTTGTATATCTGCATTAATATATCTATCATTAATTTTCCAAGATTTTTTCTTGAACTGGAATTTAATTCATAGAAATAATTCTAAAAATAATTATCTTAATATAGTAAGCATATACTTGTAATTTCTAACTTCTTAATAGTTCAAAAGAAATCCTCCAGTGTGGGATATACATATATATTTAATTGTGTCATTAAACTTATGATTTCACATTGGACTGGTCTTCATTTGGGGATAAGGGCAATTTGTTTTCCTACACCGCTTACTTTTTTCTCCTGAAATTGTTGAACGTTTGAATAACCAAATGAGTGTGTTAGGCAGGGTTTTCTAGAGAAACAAAACCAGGACATTTAGGAGAGAGAGAGAGAAAGATAGGTTTATACCATGAGAAGGAATATAATAGCTAATTAGTCCACACAGCAGTACAGAAGGTTCAGTTCAACTCACTTCTGTGGAACAGTTAATATGCTGGAAGTCCTTCAACTCACGTGGGCTGCTAGGTCTAAAGTCAAAGAAGCAGACAGCAGAGTCTGCCCACAGGCAGCGAGCAGCAGGGCAGGTATCACATCCTAATTATTCTACTACATTTTGTTATTGTTTCTGCACTTACATTTTTATCTGTTGCATCTGTATGATGGGAACATGACATAATAGCATGTTATTGCACTTTCTCTAATTCCTTATTCCATACCATTATATTGAGCTCTCAAAATAGTTCATCATGGGTAGATTTACATGACAGAATTGGGCAAATGCTACAAACCAGGACTTCATTTTTTGTTTTGTTGACTGCCTACACCTGTGTTTCCCAAAGTGGGTGACATTTGTTTGTTTGTTGTTTTGGTGGAAAAAGGGCAATGGGCGTCCTCACAGTTGTCAGTATGATGTTTGAGACCATTGGTGTCGCCCCTGGGTCCATCCCTCTCTTTGACAAGCTTCCTCTTTTTCACTGACCCTCGAACCAAGCATGCTGTCCTTCTCCAGGGACTGGTCTCTCCTTAATAAATATGTTCACAGTACATGAGCCCAAACCTCACCATCCTCACTTCTAAGGAGCTTTCTAGCTGTACTCCCAAGATCGACTTGTTTGTTCTTCTGAAAGCCCACGGGTCTTTCAGTATTCCTCACCAACGCCATCATTCAAATGAATCGATTCTTTCCTCTTTCTTATTCCTTGTCCACTTTCACAAGCATGGGTGGCCATGAAAATGCCATGGCTTGGATCAGAGGCACCTTGGTCCTCGAATGAGCAGCCTTGCTCGTGAACACTGGAAAGGGGTCTTGCGCTGCATATTTGCCCAATGCCATACACCATTTGATTTCTTGACTGCTGCTTCCGTGAGTATTGATTGTAGATCCAAAGAAAATGAAACCTTCTCTCCATTTATCATAACACGGTTTGATGGCCCAGTTGGGAGGATCCTGGCCAGTGTGGTCAAGCGGATGGCTATGTGCTAGAGATCAAGGAGCTGGGGTTCTGGCTCAGGAAAGTCCAGGCCTCGTAAGGTAAAGAAGCCCTCCTGCCCTGCCCCCCTTCGTAGCCTATATTTTAAAGGTATTTATTCTAAAAAGTAAACAAATAAATAGTCGTCCTTTAGATGGCCGTTGGCAAACCACTACTCACCAAAACAGGACATAGCACACGGTCTTTGTGGACCGTGATGCTGACTGCTCTTTAAAAACTGATTCGCATGCCCTCTTGCTCTTGCACATGTGTTCCTTCTTTCTCATTTGCTAGCTTCTAACTGCATGTGTGGAGCCACCCGAATAACTTCTGTGGGGGGAGGGAGGGAATGACAGCGCGTTACTGATAATCTGTATCTTGTGCTTTATTAATCAAGTAGAACATTGATAATTTTTTAAAACCTTCATAATTAGTGGAGTAGGCATTAATTCAAAAAATGTTTATTGGAATAGAAAATTAGAATTTGATTATACCTTTGTTCTCCGACAATGGCTGGTTTTCATTCTCCCCACCTGGTATTTGTTTAGAAGCTGGTCTTAGCAATTTCTGTGAGACCACAGAGGGAATTTCCATTACTTATTTTCGGTTTTTTCGATCCAGGACAGATGATAAATACCTTCGCTGTTTTTCTGGGCATGAGATGGTTTCTCTTGAGGAGAAGGAGTGCTGGACTCTGTCCCTGCAGGGACTTGGACGCTGTGGGAGGGTGGGGGTGGGGATGGGCGTGAGGAGCATTTCCTGCCCAGAGCAGCCAGAGCAAGCTCACTTTCCCGGAGGGACTTGTAGTCAGAGCAGGTATCCCGCCACATCCACCTTGGGACGCGTTCAGGAGCCGGATGGGGCCCACCCAACTACCCCTCCACCTCTGTCTACCAATGATTCCAGTCTTCTTATCTCCCAACCAAGAGGAACGCCAAGTGTTTTGTCTCCCGGGTACCCGTTTCACGTGTGCTTAAAGTTGCCTTTGCCTGGTGCGCTAATGTGTGTCCGCGGCAGCTGTTTGTTGTGAGGAAAGCAAGCCGCAGATCCATGGCTGGGTGTGTGCCCCTGAAGACTCAGAAAGTGACGGTCTCGGGAGACTTGCGAAGACGCTCACGCAGGAGAGGTGGTGATTTTCAGCATTTTGAAGCCGGAAGATGCAGACGTGCACCTTCTCAAGAGGTTTGTGGTTTGGCTTTGGCTTTGAAAGAAGACTGCGTCCCCTGAGGTGCCATCACAGGCAGGAGAGGGGTTTGGTTCTGAGGAGCAAGTGAGACAGGAGAAAAATGTGCGGGAACAGGGCCGGCCTCTGTCGGGTTTGCTGTTTTGTCAACATTTGACTTTCATGGCCCAGCTAGACTCATCCTCCCTCCCTTCTCCCTTCTCATTGAAAGGAAGATCCTTGGACATGCACACACACTCGGGCACTCACCTCTCTACTCAGCCTGCAAAGTGTGGGATGCATCCCGGTTAAGGGTCAGACGATAGCAGCAAGCCAGATGAGCTGGGTTTAGGTCCAGTTCTGTCTCTGTTATTGCTTGAATTATATCCCTCAAAAAGGTCTGTTGAAGTTCTCACCCCAGTGCCCTTGACCTTGTAGATATTAGGGACTTTGTAGATAGTGTCTGTTTTGTTAACGTGATTATCATACTGAAATAGGGTGGCCCTAATTCAACCGGTGCGATCCTCATTGCCCTCCAGTCAACTCGGATTCGTAGTGACCCTATCGAACAGAGTAGCATGGCCCCTCGAGCTTTCTGAGACCAAATCTCCACAGAAGGCAGCAGCCACATTGTTCACCTGAGGAGCAGCCAGTGAGTGGGTTCAAACCACTGACTTTTGCGGTTACCAGCATAATGTGCAACCCACTCTGCTACCAGAGTTCCTATCTTATTTGAGTGATAGCTTTAAAAAACAAACAAAAAGAGGCACCGAGAAACACAGACAGGAAAGACATGTGAAAACAATGGTAGAGATTAGAGTGCTGCTGTTATCAGCCAAGGATGCTGAGGATACCAGAAGCTCAGAGAAGAAAGGATCTTCCCCTGCAATCTTCACAAGGAGGAAGGGGCTGAATTTGGACTTCTGGCCACCAGGCCTGTGAAAGAATAAATGTCTGTTGTTTGATGCCACCTAGTCTGTGGCCACTTGTTTCAGCAGCTCCAAGAAACCAACACAGACAAGTAGTTGCTCTCAGACCTCCAGAGAGTTAAGTGTCCTCTAACTCTCCGGAGGTTAAGAGAGCTACTTACTTCGTTTTGGCCTCTAACAGAGGACTAAATGATAACGCACAGCATTTTCCTTACAGAGGTAGTTTGTAAGGATAAACAATAGAGAGAGTAAAGTAACTATATACTTTGAGAGTGTAGAAAGGAGCTGGGCACAGAGCAAAGACTCTTCTCTCAGTACGTCCCTTCCTGAGGCCACAGTGGAGAGTAGCCGCAGAGCTCAGGAGCTGTCACCGCCCCCCTGAAAATCACAGGGACTTAGGGCTCCAGGGGGCTGGTCTTCCCAAGCAAGCACAGAGAAAGCGCAGTTGGCTGCCCTCAATGTAAATCTGAGCAAGCCCTCTGTCCTGAGTCTTGATTCTCTGTCTGCCAATGAGGGCCCTCCTCAGGGCTCCACCTCCCTCAAAGAGTTCCAGCAGACTCAATCACCAGAGCCCATGTGCTTTGAAAGCATTCAATCACCCACCCCATGCATACCCGGAGCCCATCCCACAGTGGTCTAGCATAAAGGACTCCTGGCTGTCCCATTTGACACTTCGCTCTTTTTTTTTTTAATGAAAACTTTATTTGCTGATTTATTTTGGTTTTTAAAGAAGAGCATATGCTGTGTAGTTTCACAGTCCCTCTCATCAAATCCAATCAATAAGAATGTCGCTGCAAACCCAATCAATGTGGTTCTTCTCCTCCTGCCCCCCACCCTTCCATAATTTCCTGTGCCCCCTCCTGGGCCTTCGCCTCCTCGGAGTCTTCTCCTTTGGTTTTACTTATAGCGATGGCGTCATGAAATATTGATCTTTATAAGACTGACTAACTTTGCTGAGCATAATGTTCCCCGTTTTTCCCATGTCATATGGTGTTTGAGAATCGTCCTTGTTGTTTTTTTCATTGATGCGTAATATTCCGTTGTACTGACGTACTGGAGTTTGTTTATCCATCCTCTCTAATCGGAATTTGGGGTCGGTTCCCTGCCTTTGCTACGATGGAAACTGTTGCCATTAACCTAGGTGTGCACGCACCTCTTCAGGTTGTATTCTTTGTTTTATAAGGATATATACCCAGTAGCAGGACTGCAAGATCATAAGGTACTTGTATTTGCACTTGTTCAAGAAAGCACCATACTTGAAGGGAGACAGCAGTCAGTGTAAGACATGGGGAAAGAAGATAAATTATCAAGGGTTCATGGGGGAGGGAGGAAAAAAAATGAGAAGCTGATACCAAGGGCTCAAGTAGAAAGACAATGTTTTGAAAAAAATAATGGCAGTATATATACAGATGTGCTTGACATAATGGTTATATGTATGGCTTGTGATTAAGGGCTCCCAATAACATAAAAATATATATATAAAGAAAGCACCATACTAATGTCCATAGTGCTTGTAGCAATTCTACAGCCCCATCAGCAATGTGAGTGTTCCAATCTCTCCACATCCTCTCCAGAGGAGAAACAGTTCTATTCTTTAACGTCATCCGCATGAAGCGGTTCTAGTACAGCAACATGAGCTAACGTCTGTCCTTCGGGTAGAGAGGAAGAGATACAGAA